GGACTAAACTTATGCCTCTGTAGTTGGAGCAGATTGTGAGCAAGCCCTTTTTGAAGATGGGGACGACTATCCATTCACCCCAAGATGACCGAACTTTCTCTTTCGACCAAATTTTTGAGAATAAAGCAGTGAGTTCTCGAATCAGCGAAGCGCCACCGTCTTTAAATAGAGCAGGAGGAAGACCATCAGGGCCGGGGGCCTTATAACGTATCACGTGCCGGAGCTCCTGCTCGAGTTTCTGGTAAGGGGGAGGATCTGTTGGGGTAGACCACTTGGCCCCAGGGCGAACACCAGAGGTAGTAGATGGAGCTGGGGGCCAATAAAACTGCGAGCCAAAATGTTCGGCCCATCGCACCAACCGTCGTTGAAGATTGGTGATTAAGATGCCATCCACTTCGCCTATTGTTTCACTTATACCAGTTCGAACACCTTCGGTGACTGGAATGAGATGGAAGAGTTTCCTGGTATTACCAGAGAGACTAGCAAGCTCCATCTCCCCAGCACGTTCACACCACCAAGCTTCGCGGTCCATTTGCAGACTCCTGCGAAACTCTCGACTAAGGGATTGGCGTTCTTCACTGTGTCTGGAATCCGACGGGATCAAGCGGTGTCTGTCCATCAACGATAAGGAGACGGCGGAAATCCAGTGCTCCGGTGAGTGACGGGCAACTCCACAACTGTCGATACTGGCATGGAGCTATAAAAATAGCGAATCAAGTGATGTGTATTAGATGCGCCATCCAGGCGTGGTAACCCTGGTTACAACACGATCTAGCTGCACTGCTGACCGCGCAGAGAAACGCAACGAAAAATGTGAAGCGATTGTTCTACCTGCAATATCATAAGCGACTGAAAGCATTGAGAATATACAGCGAAATGTGTCTCCCTCTACAGGGTGACGTCGTGCAAGCGTTCCAGATCTTGAAAAACCCTGGTCACGCCTGCCGCCACGTTCTGCAACTAAGCCGCAACGCAGAACTGAGGGATTATAAGCTGTTACTGGCTACCTAATGCAGTGCGCTTGAGTGCCGCCAGAATTACTTTTCCCTTCGAATATGTCTACCGTGGAGGGCTCTTTCGGCTTTTTTTCATTTCTGCGCCCACGCTACGCATTTTAAAAATCGACTCAACGATACTTTACACCACCTGTAGTGTTTGACTTGATTTCTGTTTTTATGTGTGACGACAAGACGCAGACAGTGCTCACCAACCTCCACGAAACCGGGGTAGACGGATTTACCTGTGTTTGAACTTGGATAATATAGGGAGTCCATGGATGCGTTTACCACTTTTGTGTAACTTTTTTGAACTAAAATTATTTTCACAAATTAACCCACGGGACTTGCCAAGTCTTAGCTTTCTATCTATATTATACTATGGTTCCATTTTAAGGCTGATCGTGGGCTACTGTAACTCAGGGGATATTAAGTGAATAAAATCGAGGATGCAAGGTGAAACACGCAAAATAAACAGTAAATGCGCGAAGGATTAACAGAAGTCAGCGGTTAAATTAAAATGGATTCAGTCAGAATCTAATGTAAAGTGGAACTAGCGTAAGTGTAAGTTACTGTAGCCTAACTGCCGTGGAGAAGCACTAACCTCATAATGAGACAGGTGAATTTCAGACTAGCGAACTGAGAGTGAACTGAACATTTGCGTCGCATCCATCTCATAGACTAGGTCGCTTTCGACAATCTGAGCATTAATCTGAATTGTGACTGCTTTTCTTAGCACATAATCCAATGCAAATGAAATTACGCACAATCTTCCAAAATACCTCGACCGACCAGCACTTACGCTACAGATGTACACATATACCATTGGGAGCCAAGACAGGTACTGCATCAAAGCAACCACGAAACTGAATAAACTTAAGTCGAATTACCGCAAACGTAATAAGGTTGCAACAATAGGACAAATACGTAAGACCTTAATAAAGTTGGAACATCAGGCACAATATGCGAAAATCATCGAGGAAAACAAGACCCTTAAAATCTACAAAAGGCAAAAACTTTGGCGAGGCTTTGGAGATAAAAGAGGGTTCACCGAATGAAATGATTAAGCGGATGTCACTATATAAACGCTAGGTCGATGACATAATGTGCATAGTGAAATACTCGGTGGATCAGTTTGAACAATTACGGGGTATTCAATCGGGCCCACGAGAACATGTAGTTTAGCATACACTCCTAGTCAAATGAGCTTTTGGCTTTCCTGGATGTTCAAATGTCACGTCGATCAGCTGGATCGCTGCAGCACAGAATCCACAGCAAAGCCATAGGGACGAGTCAATATACGCACATTATGAGCTTTGCGCCAGTTCGATAGAAACAGAACACTCCAGTATCTTGTCGGAAGAGTAATGAAAGTATGCCCCTTCGAGATAATTGAAACAGCGAGCGCTATAATCAGAAAAGTGCCCCTTAATAACGGCTATCCCGACGTCATCATTGGCAGAAATACGAGAACGAACTGCGCGATCCCCAAAGCAGCTTCAGTAAGAAAGAAACCAGTTTACATATTGTTGTACCTCAAAGGAAACAAGATTTCCGAATATGTAAGTAAACGATTGGAAGCGGTCGTCATTAACACCTACTGGGCCGCTGAAGAATAAACTATCTGTATAAAACTTTATCTGTTCCTGTGGGACAAGTTACATGGGCCGCACTAACAGGCGTTTACGTGAACGAGTCCGCCAGCCTCACCCAGCATGACTATGTCAGGGATTTAATAAAACGTGCACCACTGCACTGGTCGTGCACCTAGTTCAAACGAATAATCCCGTTATAATTAATAAAGCCTTTCGCCTGATCTACCGTGGAACGTTGTCCATTACACGTGGATAAGTTACCGAATCGTTGCGTTAGAGGAGATAATCGCGATTCGTCACAAAAAACCCCATTGTGTGTGCATAAACAATTCCGCAAGGCTTTGACTTTACCATGGCCAGCTGTTGCACGATCAGCTTCGTGTGAACAAACAACACTCATTAAAGGCATTTTCACATTTTCATTTTCCAACTCCTCCATCCACCATTTCGTGCCTTAACTAATTAAATGTGTTGTATTTGAACCAAAAATGAATAAGCGTAAACGAGCTTGTCTACGAGCCAGTCTTTTCATTACTCATAAGGACTAACCAAAGCATGGCGAGGAAGTTCGAAATCTGACTTTGGAAGGTGGCTTGACAATGCATGATCTCTGTATACGGTGTAAAGCCCTAGATTCCTGACACCCGCACAGTACGGTTTCTCATCCATGTAAACGATGTGCCTCAGCTACTCCAATCACTTTGTTCGTTGTTCACAGATGACTTGAAGGTGTGGAGAGTAATCCGCACACCTAATGATTGTAACCTGCGTCAGCAGGACCTCGACCGCCTCTCCACGTCGTCTGCCGAGGTCAACCTTCCGATCGACCCGGTCAAGTCGTAATTCATGAAGCTGGGTAAGTGTGAGCACAGTCGAACCTATACAGTGGCTGGTCAACCGTTGCATCCATCGCCTTTCGCGCGCGACCTCGGTGTACTCTCACGTTACGACCTAAAGTATATAGACAACACGAATGGGTTTTACCAAAAACTGTCTTCGTATGCTTTGGGCGCTCAGGCGCAGCTTCAGCGCTTGGTCCGAAGCGATTGCCACACGTCTCTTTGTCTCAATAATACGACCGATGCTAGAGTATGGCTCTCCCGCGTATTGTCCTATCACTCGAGGAGAGGTAGAAAAGATTGAGCGAGTGCGGCATGCAACCACTAGGTTGATTCCCAACTTACGTGGTGTGCCGCACGAACACCGGTGTAAGAAAATAAGACTGTACACTCTAGCTTATCGTCGAATGCGGGTTGACCTCATCATAACACACCGGATATAACATCTGCATTACCCCATGTTGAGACCGCTGCTTCAGCTGCATGCACCAAGCAACACTCGAGGACACCGGTACAAGCTTGTCGTACCGGATTTGAAGCGTCGCTCACCAACTCTGTTTCGAACGCAGAGTGGTGAATGTATGGAACGACCTGCCGCAGCACGTAGTTGTGGCAAGGTCGGTGTTGGAATTTAAGAAGTTCCTGGACAAACACTTTGCGGACGCAAAATACATTCAGCGCAACACAAGATAACGGGTTTTTGTCCCTGAGTGACATTAGATGCAGCTACACAGAGCAAACTCTACTTGCTGCTTCCAACCAGTAATCAGTAATCAGTAATCATGCTAGACTGATCATGCATCTCCAACCTGCTCGTGACAAGACATAGATGGTTTCAATCAGTGTACCAGGGGAAGTCTGTCAATGGGATTCACATCTATTTCAGCAGGATGTTAGGACAGGTGAACCATGAGATTCTCCTTCTCAAGCTGCGAGTGTGCGGTGTTGGCGGATCACTGCACTAGTAAAACCGCGAGTTTCTCGTTGAACAAAGGTGGAGAGTACAACTCAATAGTCATCTGAGCGATTGGCATCCTTCGACCAATGGCATACTCCAAAGCACGGAGCTGGAGTCTGAATGGATCTTGATTTATATCGACGGCGTAAATCAGCTTCTTCGGTCGCCTGGGGCTTGTTTGCAATAACCTAAAGATGTGGAGAGTGATAAGCACTTCGAACGACTCCAGTCTACTCCAGCAAGAATTCAACCGCCTTTATGTGTGATCTGCATAAGTTCGCTTCTCGGTCAAGCTAACCATGTCGGTATTCAAGCGCCTACGGAACGGTACTGACAGTTGTTAACCAATCTCTTCATCGCACAACTTCCGTAAAGGAATCTAAATAGGTTTTTCTATAATTTCAGCCCAACGAACTATATAGTCAACAAAGTCGTTCAGCTGACCAGTGGGAAATATCAGTTATGACATGTTCCAGCTCGTTGCTAAGAGAAATTGGACGCCTTTCAGGCTTACAGCGAACATATTGACAGCGCACTACTTAACTATGTATCTTATCTGGGCGTTTGTAGGGGATATAAAGTATAAAGTATATAAAGTATACTTCCTTCCTACCTGTTTGAGGTAGTCTGCTTCCTTCTGCCTCACTTGAGAAGACAGTTTCACTGGGGACTCCCGTTGCAACCCTGTGCAAAAGGAAGATGTAACGAGAAAAGGCACCAGTATTTATAACCATCTGACGAGGAAATAAAATTGTGAAGCGCAGAATACCAGCACTATAATTTGGATGTTCTGTTTAGCTTGCTCAGCAAATAGCGCAGTTTCCGCTAACTGCTGCGTCTTTCTAGTTTCTTTAGTGTTGGATTGTAGAAAGAGAAATATGTGAAATGGTCCTGAGTAGCTACATCACCTCCGTTTGACCGGTATGATGGTTTAAATTCACTGCAAAACCATTCGAACAAATTGTTCTTTTGTGATGAACGTATCAGGCAGACATTTTGCACGCGAACTACCATACACAACAGAGATTACATTCAAGTCGGATTGGATCTTCGAAACTGGAAATCTACTACTATTTAGCGATATGCAGAATGTTTGTGCAGT